TTTACAGAAGTAAACTGCCAGATCTTTCTCCTATTGAGCAGCTGGTGGGGTTTGAACTGCCAACCTTTTCCTTAGCAGCAGCCACTTAACCATTGCACCACCAGGGTTCCTTTGGCTAGGCCATAGTACACAGTAATTTAACCAAACACTAATCTAGGTGTTGCTGTGAAGGTGTATTGTAGATATAGTTGTTGTTGTTGTGAGCCTTCCAGTCGGAACCGACTCATAGCGACCCCTCCTTGGGTTTCCGAGGCAGTATCACTATGGAAGTAGATTGCTCCATCTTCCTTCCAAGGAGTGGCTGGTGGGTTTGAACCGCCAGCCTTCTGGTTAGCAGTCAAGTACCTTAGGCACTATGCAACCAGAGCTTCTGTAGATATAGTTAATATCTATAAGTGGTTGAACTTAAGTAAAGGAGCCTACCATTGATAATGTCGGTGGGCCTCATCCAATCAATTCAAGGCACTAAAAGCAAAAACTGAGGTACCCCAGAGGTTTGCAGCAATTGTTTCAAGATTGTAATCTCAACTCCCACCAAGTTCATAGCCTACCAGCCTGCCCTACATAATTCAGACTTGCTAGTCCCTACAATGGTGTGAGCCAAATCCTTAAAATAAACCACACACACACACACACACACGGTCACACAATATTTGTTCTGTTTTTTTTGGAGAACTCTTGACTAATACAGGCTCAGGGTGGAAAATCACTTGTACCTCTTTGGGCATAATTTCATTTCTATGGACACTATTTTAAATACCAATTATTTAAAATAAACACTATCAGTTTTCTTGTAAAATAGCTTCATCAACAGAAGGCTATAGAAGGGTCACCAATGTTCCTATAGAATAAAATACTTCTTGGAGTGTCTGGTAGATATGGTTAACCTCACACTGAAACCAAAATCAAACTCACTGCCATCCACACAATTTCGACTCATAGTGACTCTATAGGACGGAGTACAACTGCCCTACTGGGGTTCCAAGGCTGTAAATCTTTAAGGAAGCAGATTGCCTCATCTTTCTTCCACAGAGCAGCTGGTGGGTTTGAAACACTAACCTTTTGGTTAGCAGCCCAGTCCTTTAACCACAGCACCACCAGAGCCTTACACTGAAAGGTAGTTGTTGGTATTTTGCCATCCAGAGGGCCCAACTCATAGCGACCCCTCCTTGGATTTCCCAGGCAATATCACTACGGAAGTAAATTGCCCAACCTTCTTTCCCAGGAGTGGCTAGTGGGTTTGAACCGCCAGCTTTCTGGTTAGTAGTAAAGTGCCTTAGGCACTACGCTACACTGAAAGGACACCCATAATTTCTTTTGCCCATTTCCAAGTCTTTATACTTTTTGACAATGGGTCCTTGCCAGTATTTTCATTTGATTTTGGTAATGGAATAGAAAAGAATAAATAGAAATGTAGTGCACTGCTAGTAGCATTGTTTTGTGAAAATATTGTTTCAGATATATTCATCTATATACACAGAATGTAGTATCGGGTATTGATGTAAAATATTTTTGTTCACTGTCGACTAGTATCAAAAAAGTTTGAAAGCTACTAATGTAGTGACATATTGTGAAGTTCAGCAGAGAAAAAAACTGGACAGTTTGAGTTTTCCCTTCCCTTCAATGCAGGCATCCATTCACAGGGCTCAGTCACTCACTCACAAAATGATCAGAATGAATGGTAAAGAAGGCAGAAAAGCACCATGCCCGATGTTCAACTCGTTCTTAACACTGAGGTAAACTGGCTGCCGGGGTCGCCACGTTAAAGAAGTGAATTTAGGTAGAGTGGAACTGGCGAGTTGGCCAGTCCCCCGGAAACAAGACCGTGGGCTTTCCGCTAGGCTACTCCAGCTTGGGGAATCAACCGGTTGCCCTAGGCTGCAACACTGTAACACCAGGAGTCGCCGACAGGTCCCGCTACGCGCGAGCGGAAGAACACTGCGCATGCGCAAAACAAGCCGCAGGAAAGGAAGGGAAACCGGGCGAAAGGAATCCTTTGCCAGGCCCAGCTTCTCCTCCAGCCTCTATCTGAGGATCTCATTGCCTAGTCACCTCCTGACCTGTTTTCCCCGCCCTTTCCGCGCCTCCTGGGCTGGGGTGCGCGCGCAGAGCCTGAGCAGGCGCCGGCGGGAAAGGGAAGCGGAGGGTAAGAAGGCCCTGCGTCGGGGGCACGTCTATGACGGGGTTCGGAACTTGCTCTTCGACTCTCTGAGGCTCTCGGTACCCCTGACGAGAATAGTGAAAGGTGCCTCTGGAGCCAGTTTCCAGCCCGCCTTTCTTCCTGCCGCCTCAGGCCTCCCTCCTGAAAGTCGAAATGTTTACGCCTTCACTGGGCCTTTGCCTAGTCCGGACAGTTCTTACCACTCCTCTCCCCGCCCCCACTGGGTAATACGGAGGCAGCGACGCTGGCCTGTCTGTTGTCCCCTCAGCTGTCTGAAATGCCAGCCATTCAACGAGATGGCCCTGGGATGTTTCTCCGCCCTTAGTGTCGCAGCAGCTTAGGGCTAGCGCTCCAGGTGCAGTTCTCAGAGCATGCGCAAAGAACCTCGTTCTTTTGAGCTATATCCCGGGATTCTTTCAGACACCCTTTGCTGAAGCACCTTCCAGATGCTCTGGGCACTGGATTCACGGCCACCAAACAGGTCCTCTTTACTTCCTGTGGGTATCTCCACCATTTCCTAATAATCTGCCTTTGAAGTTTGGATCTTTTGTGGAAGGCACCTTACATTCCCAGTTGAGGTACTCTGTAATTAAACAGTCATCACTAGGTTCCAAAATCTGCTGACTGGGAGAAATCTAAAACAGAAAAAGCCTGTCAGCCATGTCATGTTTAATAATATCTGCAGGTCAAATTTCTATGTAGTAACAAACTTTGCTTTTATGTGCCAGTTAGATGTGATGTAAAATGTAAAAGTTGATGTGACGTTTTAGCAGCTACCTGAGAACGTCTCAAATGTCTCAATAAATTAATTCTTAGTCATCATCATCACTTAGTTATTTTGACTTTGATAAATTTGACTTGGAATGTATAAACTTAGTCATTTTTCCTCTAACATCAGCCCATGCCATTTCTGTCAGTCTTACCAGTTGTCATTATGCCTAAACTATAAAACCTTAGTCATCTTAGTTTCTTTCTCCCTGGGCTTCATCTCCATGTCTCTTCTATTAACAAATCTCTTGGTTTCTTTATTCAAAAGATAACTTGGACCTTTTTTTTTTTTTTTTCTCATTTCTGAAGCTGTTAGGCTGTTTTCTAGGATTTCATTACTTCTTAGCTCATTTCACTGACTGCCCACATAACTATTTTGAAATAAGGTTATTGTCATATCTACTGTTCGTGAACCTATAAAGTCTCATGTCTAAATTTCTGTGCTTGGATTCCAACACCTTTTCTCTATAACCTTGACTAATAATTCCTGTGCAGTGTGATATGGTGTGAAAAAACCCTAGATTTAGAGTAAAAGACCTGAATTCAAATACTGAGACTGACTTTATAGTAACACCCTATCCTTGGGGAAGCTTCAATTTCATCATCTCTCATTTATGATAATATCTTTTCTTCCTGCCTCTTAATTATTGTGAGAATTATAGTACACATAATATATAGAAAAGCTAACAGCTTAATAAAACACAGCCTGTTAATTTCTTACTGTACTCGTTCGTTTTTCAAACCTTTGAAGACCTAAAAATATTAGGTACTGGTGCTACAGATAAGAACGATGATCCCTGCCCTTAAGAGACAACATTTCAAGGAGTACAGAGTTTATGCATGTATATGTGTAGTGAATGGGGTGGTAGGGTGTCTGTTAAGGTAGAATGTGATGTGGGCTGTACTTACATAGGGAAACTTAAGATGAGCACCAAACTCAGAGGAAAGAATGATGGGAAAGGGTTCCTAGAGGAAGTTATATTTGAACAGTCTTAAATTATAGTGAAGATCCAGATGAAAAAGGTGAGGAAGCATAGGATAAAAGAGGCACTTTTACGGAACTGCCAGTTGTTAGGTCTTGCTGGAGCGTTAAGTTCAAAGAGGAGCATAGGTTATGGAACTGAATAAGTAATTAGGGGTGAGATCTGAAGGACTCTGCTAACGGAAGCCATTGAAGGATTTTAAGCAGACAGGTGGACTGATCCCAGTTGCTTTTTTTTTTTTGGCATGCATACTTTAATTATTTTTTGCAACCATCACCATTGTTTATTTCCAAAACTATTTTTATCACCCCAAACAGAAACTCTACCCATTAAGCAATGACTCCCTCCCCCAAGTCTCTGGTAACTATTTCTATGCATTTGCCTATTCTGGATATTTCATTTCATATAAATGAAATCGTTCAATGTTTGTCCTTTGGTGCCTGGCTTATTTCATTCAATGTATTAAAGGTTCATCCATGCTGTAGCATGTATCAGAACTTCATTTCCCTTTATGGCTGAATAATATTCCATTGTGTATATGCACCACATTTCGTTTATCCATTCATTTGTTAATGGGCATTTGGGTGGTTTCCACATTTTGGCTATTGTGAATAATGGTGCAGTGAACATACGTGTACAAGTATCTGTTTGAGTCCCTGCTTTTGATATACCTACACAGTTGCTTTTTAAAAGTTCATTCAGGCTGTGATGTATGCTTCCTTACTATAATGTACAAAACCTTTTTTCTGCCTTTATGTCTTTTCTCATTTTCTTTACTGAGAAGAGCTTATGCCCTCTCCTCATACCTTAATACTATTGATCTTTCAGTACTCAGTCAGGTCCCTTTTTTTTCCTGTAAAAAATTTCTCGTTTATTTTAACACTCACTGTTTATTTCCTTCTCTGAAACCACATTAAAAATAGTATCACACAGTTTAGTCCTTATTTGTTTCATGGGTGTTTTATGTCCCTGAGTAGATAGTAAACTCCTCTGAGGGTAGGGAGTGTTTCTTATGTGTATGAACAGAAGACATGTTAAACAAAAAATATATTGCTTGATGTCGTTGTATTTTCTTTTTCAGAGTGGGGCATATTATGGGCAACAGCTCTTTTAATTAATATATCATCATCATGGCTAATGAATGCTGTCCCAAGGCTGGTGATAGTCCTTTTACATCAGATAAACATGCCCAATTCATCATGACCCAGATCAATAAAATGAGGAATGGACAACATTTCTGTGATGTGCAGCTACAAGTTGGGAAGGAAACTTTTAAAGTTCATCGGCTGGTTTTGGCTGCCAGTAGTCCCTACTTTGCAGCTTTGTTCACTGGAGGAATGAAAGAGTCCTCGAAAGATGTTGTACAGATTCTAGGGATTGAAGCTAGAATTTTTCGTGTACTTCTAGATTTCATTTACACAGGTATGTTAAGTGAGCCTCTTGCTTTGAGTGAAAAATGATGTAACCACTCGTGCACTGCTATGAGAATATAAATTGATTTAACTTATGTGGAAGAGGGCAGTGGTGGTTCAGTGGTAGTTTGTTACCTAGCCAGTGTACCTCATGCACAACCACCACCTCTCCCTCATTAGAGGCTTGTGTGTGGCTTCGATGCTGAACAAGTTTCAGCAGAGCTTTGCAGGCTAAGACTAGGAAGAAAGGCTTGGCAATCTACTCCCAAAAATCAGGCATTGAAAACCTTATGGATCACAGTGGTCTGATCTGCAGCCAATCATGGGGCTGGCACAGGATGTATCTTTCCTTTGTGTATGGTTGCCATGAGTCGGGAACTGACTCAACAGTAGCTGACAGCAACAACAGCAGTAATTTAAGTAGAAAGTAATTTGGCAATATGTTATTGTGAGCCTTTGGAAAGTTATCTTTTGACCCAGTATTCCTTTTCTAGGAATCCTAAAGAATTCATTAGAGATGTAGGTGAACATTTTATGTTCCAAGATGTTTATCATGTTGTTCTTGTTATATGCAGTTGAGTCGGACCTGACTCATAGCGACCCCTCCTTGGGTTTCCGAGGCAGTATCACTATGGAAGTAGATTGCCCAACCTTCCTTCCAAGGAGTGGCTGG